ACCTGGCCTGCGGGCGTCCTACACTACGTTTACCGAGACGCGGTCTAATTAAATATAAATGTATGTGTATAATTATATATGTGTGTATTTATGATGTGTTGTGTTGTATATGAGTATGTATAAGTTTGTGTATATAGCGAACCGTTACAGGTATTGCATTGATTAATTAATATATTAAGACGAAACCCACAGAGGTTACAAGATTTCTACACCACCCAAAGGTTGACTAGAAGAGAATGCCCTGGGCATTAAGTCCGCCGATGTACAACATCATCACATCATCATCAACAGCCTTTAATAGTCCACTGCTGGACATCGGCCTCTCCTTAGAATATGAAGTTTTGGCCTACTATATCACGCTGGCCAGACGGGTTGGTATAGGGTTTGTGTCAAGTTTTCCTTCTCTTTGCAGTACTGGTTGTCCTACGTTAGCTCCCTTAGTCGCCTCTTACGACACCCGCCGATGTACAAAAGTGCATAAAGTTAAATAAATAAATATAATATACCTCATAATATAAAATAATATACCTCACAAATCACACACACGGCCGTCTGATCCCAAACTAGGCAGAGCCTGTGCTATGGTGACCAGACTGCTGATAAACATACTTATATATTTTTAAATACATTCATATTATAGATGAATTACACCCAGATACAGAACAAATAAACAAATCATGCTCATCACACAATATTTGTCCTGGGTGGGAATCGAACCCACGACCTCCGGATTAGCAGTCAGGGGCACTAACCACTCGACCAACAGGCCCGTCTGATATAAAGTCTGTACCCGTGATGATCTGTGTAGTTCTAACTACCACAGTAGTATTAATCTATAAACCCTCGGCTACTACACTGCAGGTTTTAAAAACATTTTAATAATTTCCACCTATTATTTAAAATTTTTGAACTTTAGGTAAGACACCTCTGTTAACGGTCTTTTCGTATGGAAAACAACCACATATTCTTGTACGAGACAGTGTAGACCCTTCATTTATCATTATAATGACCTAATTACAGTTAACCATTTGTTTTATATGTGTTAGAAGACTTCTTTTCGCACGAAATTCGCTTGGTTATGGTTATACAGATGTTGATTCAACAGATTAACTTTGGTTTTTAATCACACGGTGTTCCATGTGTAGAAAATAGAAGGGAACAGGTTTTGTTAAGACCTGCCGACCCTTTCCAGTGCCTGGCCGCTAAAGCGCGTACCTTCGGGTCAAGTAAACGAACTATGCCTAGTTTTTGTTTAAAGACAACTCTCGCATTAGGAATGTATATCCTGCGTCGCGGGGGACTTTACAAATAAACATAAAATGGACACAAAGCTGGTGAGAGTAAACTCTATCCCGTCCACCCGTGCCTTAAGGGCGGTATGAAGCGCAGATAAGGGCGCCTCAGTCTAACGCGCCTCCGAGTTTGGTCGTTTGGCCGAGTATGGCTACACTGCACTACTGCACTACGATAATAGGACGAAACTTTTTTTTTGGCATAGAGGGCAAACGAGAGTCACAGTTGCGTTGCCGGATTTTGAGTCGAGGGAGTGCATCACTTGGTAAAAAGCTACGACAGAATTGCCTAACAAAAGTTTTCTGTGAGGCCCTCGTGTCACTCCGGTCGAGCCGGCCCATTTGTGCCGAAGAATGGATCTCTCACAGTTTCAATTTAATTTACTCGTCAGAGTGCTATTAGCTCTTTTTTTTAGCAACTACCGCCGCCTATGTACACCTGCAACTCAAAAGTCACAAGTGCGTTGCTGCCCTTAGAGTCCCTCCCGCTCGAGTCAGCGGGAGGGGGGATTTGGGCTCCGGTAACCTCACTCACTCAGTGAAAGGCAACGAAAGAATTGCTTAGCACCGGTTTTCTGTGACGCCGTGTTATTACTCCGATCGAGCCGGCCCATTCGTGCCGAAGCATGGCCTTTCACTGAGTGAGTGAGGGTAACGGAGCCCAAATCCCCCCTGGATTTGGGCTCCGGTAACCTCACTCACTCAGTGAAAGGCAACGAAAGAATTGCTTAGCACCGGTTTTCTGTGACGCCGTGTTATTACTCCGATCGAGCCGGCCCATTCGTGCCGAAGCATGGCTCTCCCACGGATAAAATTGTATCAACCGTTTTTCTTACCACAAATTACCCTCTTTTGCAAATCCGTCTGAAAACAATAACATGCCCAAAGAAGCTTAGCTCCAGGCAGGGAACAGTATTCATTATATGATATTGATTTATGTCTTTCGTTGAATGTGGAAGTCGCCACAATGGCATATTCTGCTCTTAAAGTTTCCTTTCAATAGTGATCTTCTTCGATAAAAAAAGTATTTATTTCATAGATTTGACGGGCCTGTTGGTCTAGTGGTTAGTGAGTCTGACTGCTAATCCAGAGGTCTTGGGTTCTATTCCCGTCCAAAGAGTGTGTGATGTGCACGATCATTTGTTCTGTGTCTGGGTGTAATTTATCTATAGTAAGTGTGTATCTAGAAATATATAAGTATGTTTATCAGCATTCTGGTTACCATAGCACAGGCTCTCCCTAGTTTGAGATGACTTCCTCGGTGGTGCAGTTTTAGCGTATGCAACTGCTGTGCTGAGGTCTCGGGTTCGATTCCCAGGTCGGACCAAATGTTTGTTTGATCTACAAATATTTATTTCGGAGTTTGGGTGTTTTCTATGTATAAAATCTATGTATTTACAAAAAAAAAGTATATAAGTATTCCATCAGCCACAATAGTTTTCATAGTACAAGCTCTGCTTGGTTTGAAACTAGATGGCGTTGTGTGTCAATGTCCGAAATATTATTATATAGACTACCTGTGCAGTCCAAACTGGTGCTGAATCAAGTCACACCACGACTCATCTGCAGACTGATCAGTCTTAGCAGACCGGAAATCAGAATGGTTGTCGGAACTATTACAGGACATCTAGCCCTGAACCGACAACTATTCATAATCAATGCGAAGGACAGTCCCCTGTGCAGGGGATGTCTGGAAGCTGAAGAAACGGCCGTCCACGTAGTCTTGGAATGCGAGGGAGTGGCCACACAACGGGCAAGTATCATTCCTGATATAAAGTCGCTCCTAGAAGCCTGTGAACGCCCCAGGAGGCTTCTGCGCTTCTGGAAGGAGCTTGGCTGGCTCACCTAGTCAACCAACCCTCGACGCATAAAGGACCACTCTGAGTCTGAATGCGGAAACCGAAGCCCACAACCAATACCAATACCTGTGCAAGATGTGTGAGGTTATTGAAGTTACTAGAACTGGTTATTTTATATGAAACTATTTTATTTGATCGCAGGTGATCTACCAAGAGGTTGTTAGTTTTGCTTTTGTTCGTTTCGAGTCTTCTTCTCGTGTTATAATGTGACCATACTCACCATCCAAGTCTGTTTTCTTAGTCGCTGATCTTTTCGGTAAGTGGCGGTACTTTCCAAGATCCCATTATTTTTATTTTTTATGCTCTAACATACGACAGACGGGTCACCTGATGGAAAGTGACCATCGCCGCCCATGAACGTATGCAAGTCAGGAGTCACAAACGCGTTGCCGGCCTTTTAGGAAGGACTACGCTCTTTTCTTGAAGGTTTGAAGGTCGCATCTGTCCGGAAATACCGCAGACGATAACCCGTTCCACAGATTGGTTGTGCGGAGCAAAAATTGTCTCGAAAAGCGCACAGTAGTGGAGCGCCAACTATCCACGTAATAAGGATGAAAATTTTGTTTCTTTTTTAAATGTTTTAATTTTATATTTGAGGGATTCACTATTATTGTTTTAAATATATCGCATATAAGAAATAGTTGAATGAGCTGCCACCTCATTAATTTAAATTCATTTGATATTTTACATGTTTTCGTGGACGTAAATTATTCGTGACTAACATGACTCTTCTTGCAGCGTAGTCGAGTACAAATCGAATGCTTCGTCTATTCATTCATAATCGAACGCACTATCCATAATATCATTGCAACATCTGTATCGAAAAACCGCAGTAATTCGAGACAAATCTCGAATGCATAGGTACGTAGTTTTTTTCAACGCACCACGCTCGATTGCACTCAAGGATGGCACGTTTTTGCATTCATACAAAAACTGTTATAACACTGCGGTTAACCCGCCAAGTTCTAAAATATGGATGTATTCCTTTAATTAAATATCTGATCATAAGGGCATTAAGAAATACTTTTTATTCTTTATTATTATGAAAATACGAGAAGGTGTTAAAAATATTAAACTTACTGTACTTAGTTTTACACCGCAGTAAAAAAAATATAGCACGTAGCGTCGTATAAAGTTTGGCACCGGCTAGTTTTAGAAGTAAAAAAAAATTCATCGCTTGACTCATACAAAGACATCCCAATATAATAATAATAATAATAATAATATTCTACCACATTCACACAACGCCATCTAGTCCCAAACTAAGCAGAGCTTGTACTATGGGTACTAGACAACTGATATAAATACATATATACTTTTTTTTTTGTAAATACATACATATTATACATAGAAACACCCAGACCAAATCAAACATTAAATGTTCATGCACATAAATGCTTGACTTGAGCGGGAATCGAACCCGCGACCTTTGGAATAGCAGTCCGTTACACAAACCACTACGCCATTCGGTCGCCAAATAATGAATGTTGTGTGTTTATTACGTGTTTATATGTACACGTTATTATTAATGGTCAGGATTACAGATTACCTTCATGCAGAAAAAGTACCGTTTCTAAAGGATATACGAAATTACTGTTACACGAACAGATTTACTAGCCACAATTTCACCTGCCAGTGCTACATATTTAATACTAATGTGCATTAATTACTGACGAAGCAAATTTACAACGGACTTGGCCTGTCATTTTTCGATCACCTTTTAATACAAATCAATTTGACTAAGGTCGATATACAACCCTGATTTATTCGTTGGATTATCAGAGTGCTCAGATTCACCATCACAGACGGTCGTGCTAAAAGAACTAAGGGTGGAACAAACTAAAAAAAAATGCAGGAAAAAAGTGTGTTGTTCATCTGTTTTATTGCGCTGAGCACCGCTATTTATATTGCCCAAGGTATGTATAAATTATAATGGTAGTACCGTAAAGAAGGAACCTGATGTTAAAAAGTAATATAAAATGTAAAAGCAGTCCGCGATATTCCTTACGTAATCCTTCAGGGACATATTTCAGAAGGAATGGAATAAAACACACAAATGGTTGTCCGGAGATTAAAATCTGACGGTAAAACAGTATTTTGCACCTCCACAGCTCCGCTCAAATAATGTTTACTCAAATTATCAATAAAAAGGTTGTTTATTTATATATTTATATAACTTGATGTACAAGTTGTACACAGGCAGACTTGATGCGCAGGACATTCTCTGCCAGTCGACCTTCGGGTGATGTAGAAAAATAATGCGGTAGGTGCAAGAGAAAACAGAGAATTAGAATTTAATTTAAGATAAATCTAACTTACAAATATATGGTATAATAGGCCAAAACCTAAGGAGAGGCCTATGTCCAGCAGTGGACTAGTAAAAGCCATTGATGATGATGATGACATATATACTATAAATAAAATACTATATTCATTACCACATATATACATACATAGAGGTCCCAAGTATAAACATACAATACATAAACATACACATACATAAATACATAAACATCAAAATACACAGTCGGGTACTAGCGTTGTGACCTTTCTGCCAACTCATTTTGAAGATCTTGTACTTTCTTCTTGAACGGTGAAATTAGCTCCAACCAAGCTTCTAACTCGCTGAAATCCGTTTTGTTATTTAATTAAAATCCGAATAGTAAAACATAAAAGTGGACTAACAAATTTTAATAGACTAAATTTTTTGAGATTTGAACTTGTGACGACATTTGAGCGACGACAGAGGTGTGATCTATATGTATACATCTATACAAATAAATGTCTGTTTGTAATGTCAAAATAATAGGTTTTTTTTAATGATCATACAGTTATTTGCACGATACCTATGGCTAAAAAGCCAGTTTTTTTTGTATATCTGTCTGTTTGTTCCGGTTAATCTTCTAAACGGCTGGACCGATTTCGATAATATTTTACTACCACGTAGGTACCTGTCTACATAACTTAGGCTATAACTCTCAGAAAAACCCTTTTAAAAATTTGCCCCACCTAACCTTTAAACCCACTAAGGCAGCGTTTTCAAATTCCACGCGAACGGAGTCACAAATGCAAATCTTTATTACCTTTAAACTTAGTCGTAGATTAATTTGATCTGACATAGATAACATTTGGTCAATTACATTTGATTCAGACTGCTAAGACACGAAAATATTCTGTCAAAGTTGACATCTTTTTTATGTAGTCGAACATAGTATTAATTATGATTGTGCAATATCTTTGTAACTGTTGTTTTCCTTGACAGATCATATTCTTCATTTTCTTCTTTTTAAAAAGACAACATTAGGAATTATTATCCCCGCATTAGGAATATATCCTGTGTCGCTGGAGACTACAAACACTTTGTGTGATCCACAGATTGTTGTTCTGAGTTTGGTTGTTCTTTGTGTCCGTTTCATGTATGTTTTTAAAGTCCCCCGCGACACTGGATATATTCCTAATGCGGGAGTTGTCTTTTAAAAAGAAAAAAAAGAAATAATTTGGAACGAGAAATAAAAAGGAAACTAAATATTTTATATAAAGCATGTTTACGATAAGTATTTTGTCTCTTTCATCATTATTTTCTTAAAACGTAAGACTGCAGTTTCATAATCATCTAAAAATTCTAAAAAATTCGACTGCAGTTTCGAAAATATTTAAATTATATTTGATTCAATTTGTAAATTTTAACCATACAATTTCAATACAGTATGTAGGGTATTTTTATATTTCATCAGCTACTTTTTTCACTTATTTTATTACATATTTTAAATAACTCCGTTAAAAATACTTTCTAAGTAAGTAAGTTCTTACATTCCCTTTCACAGTTCTTGCATTATTTTTCAAAATAATATTGTTACTAGCTTTCGGTTTTAGCGGTAAAAAGTAGCATATGTCTTTCCTCAAGAATCAAAGTATCTTCATACCAAATTTCACCTAAATCGGTTCAGCGGTTCTTGATTCCCCATACAAACTTCCACCCTCTCAAAGTATGATTTCTGGGATAAAAACTACCCTAGGTCCTTTACCGGGACTCGGACGAGCTCTTTACCAAATTTCATCGAAATCAGTTCAGCGGTTTAAGCGTGAAGAGGTAACAGACAGACAGATACACAGACACACTTTCGCGTTTATAATGGATAGTATGGATATTAGTATGGATATTAGTATATAAATTAGTATAGATATATATCCCAGGTATCCTTGGGAGGAAGTAAAAAGGAGTTAAATATAAACAAAATTCTAAGACGATATATTTAATCCCAAACATCTGCGATAGGTATTTCCTTCAAGACAGCTTGTAATTTCCTGTCGCGGCAACTGGCGGCTACAATACACCGACCCTGGGGAAACTCTCGAATTAAACCATGCCTGAAAACGTAACATCAATAATTAACAGTAGTAATTCTTAATATTAAGTTCTTTTTTTTACTTTAGTATTCTTAATTAAGAAACTGTCGCGGACGTCCAGAACCGTCAGAACACCATACCAAAGTTTCATCACAATCTGATTAATGGTATAGAGGACAAACATACACATATTGATTTTTACTTATGTAGATAACTGGTCCAAATAGTCCAAGCATTATTTTCTTTCCCATCAAAATATAGATGTTAATATAACGGTACACCCTTTATAAGTATGAATTTCCCTTACAAAAGCATTTATTCTAATGAAAACTTGTGTGTAAACTAAACCGCAAACAGTTACTACAATTATTTACAAACAAATTAATAACTACCCTAATTAAAACTATTGCTGATCATTCAACAAACTAAGTGAAAACAATAATTAGTTTATCTATTGATTTGCAAACATTAATTTCGACGTTAAGGACGTAACATAGAAATTGTATATAAAAAGACTCCTGATAAACATACTTAAATATTTTTAGATAAATACCTCCAGACTCAAAACCAATGATCGTGGTCATCATATAACTTTTTGCCCTGGGTGGGAATGGAACCTACAGCCTCCGACTTAGCAGTAAGGGTCACGAATCAGTAGAATCAAAGAGATAGTGTACTTCGTTTCATACAATAAATAGCTTAACAGTGAGGTTTTTATGAGTCTCTATTGTGTTTGTAGTGAGTGAAGTTATCCGTGTGGTGGATTAGGCATAGGGAGTGTCATCACCCCTATTCATCCCGTGGGTGTCGTAAGAGTTAACTAAGAGCAAAATAAGCAGGACAAGAGCACTGCAAAGAGAAGGAAAATTTGTCATAAACCCGTCTGGCCAGCGTGGTATAGTAGGTCAAAACCTCCTTTCTAAGGAGAGACCTATGTTCACCAGTGGAGTTTTGATCAGGAACGTGAGGTTACCAGAGCCTAAACCCCCTCCCTGCCAGGCAATTTAGTTGCAGGCGTTCATAAGTGGTGGTAGACCTACCATCAGGTGTCTCGACTGCTTATTTGCCCCGCCCATTACCATAAAAAAGTGGAACTTAAGAGCAACTTACTTGCAATAACACCCACTTTTACAGTGGTCAAGTCTCGTTGGTAGATCTTTTACCCTGTTTATCCTGTCGGTACTTGTCCAGCATGTGGTCTCTGCTAGGAAGTAGCAAGATCTGTGTATTTCATTAAGACGGCATTCTTGTTCTGGAAATATTCATTTAAATCTAATACCTTTAAACGAGCAATTCTGGTATATATAAAAATATAATCTGAATCTCGGCAAGGCTTCAAAGATTTTTATGAAATATAGTATGCAGGGGGCTTCGGGGGCGCTTTTATTTTTAATTGGTCTAGCAAGGTTTCATTTTTAGAAAATTTACCGAAAAAAAACCCAGCAAAGCTCGGTCATCCAGGTTCTTAAATATTATCGGAAAGGATACTTCTCATCACCGAGCTGGTTCTCAAACTAGGTTGGAGTCTGCTTTCAGTCTCCTGCAACATGACTGAACTATTATTTTTTACGTAGAGCGATTGCCATCAGACCCAAGTACTAGGCGAAATCAAAGTTCTGTAGGTAGAATATTGTCGGACTTTTTAAGACTCCAATTACCAATAATGATTCAAACAGATGTTTGTATGGCAATCGGGACCGATGGCTTAACGTAATCTCCGAAGCACAGAGGAGTCTTAATCTGTTTAGAATGGACACCCATCCATAGACTGACCTGGCTACTATTAGTTAACTTTGCAATGTGGTAGACTACTAAGAAACAAAATCGAATCGAAGATACTTGTGTAATAAATAACTTACTCAGTGTTAATGATGTTACTTCCTGCACCAGGATTCTAATACCCATTATGGCGAAGAAAAAAATAAAATAAACAGCCATTACACCTAGTCAATTAATCAATTTGAAATAAAGAAAAAAAAGCACTTACCAAGAACAATAATTCGTTAATTAAATTCATTTGTTTTACATGTTAGGTTTGAAGAGTTAAATCAATTTTCACCATTACTGATCACGTGTTTTAGTCGGCCTGCTCATTTTAGGTGCAGTACGGTCTGACAGACCCAGTGAAGTACACAAAGAGGTTTTACCATAGACGGGCCTGTTGGTCTAGTAGGTAGTGACCCGAGACAGACGAGACTCCGGTGCGGCCGGGGGGTGTTGTCCATGGTGGGGCGCTGTTGCGCCTCCTACTGTATAGAGCAGTGAAAGGCGCGGCAGCCTCCCGCCCCAGGGTGACTACAGCCCCCCGGGATGTGCCTCAGACATGGGGTACGGCAGGGAGGACTCCAGAAGCCGCCGATGCGTTCCTGGAGCTCCTCCCGACTGCCGAGGTAGGCCGCCGCGGGGTTTAGTGGGTAAACCGGTTCTCCGGGAGTCCCACACACGCCCTCCGTTTCCCTAACGGAAGGTATGGTGCGAAAAGCATTCCCCGCGTTAAAAAGATAGTGTCTGAGACATCTTGCCCATCCTGTGGCTGAAGAAGCTACTACAAGTATGGCATGATGAACCCGGTGAGATACCCAAAGATTTCATTTCATTAAATATAAAATATAAATTACATTTTTAAATATATTTATGTACAAACAACAACAAAATAAATTTAAAAATATAAAAAATTATGTCTCGTCGGTATCGGGCACAGGGACCAAACCTCCAGAGACAAAAACTTTCTCAGAGGCTAAAGGGTAGGTAGGGTTCAATAGGTTTTTGGAAAATCAACAAAAATCTGAAACTGAAAGCTAATAGAGCCATGTGTAATTTCGTACCTCTATGTATGTACATAGAGACGCCAAACAACTGCAGAGGTAACTGGCAGTTTCTGTCAGGCATTCCTTGCCTTATAATTTGAATTGTTCAGAATAATTTGTTATTTAATTAGGTTTTTCTGTGAAATTGCGGTTCAGTTGAGCAGAACGACGGACGAATACGGATGACCGATCAAAATTCCGGAAGAGCCTTGTTTCTTCTGTAAGTAAATTTGTGAAAAAATGAATTTGTTCTCGAAGCAGCCCGTCAGTTGCTTGTCAGGTATTTCGGAGTAAACATAAACTACAGTAGAAATCAAGAGACAGCAAATTCTCGCTTGTCCTTGTCGTTCTGAAATGGTCCAAAATAGAGCCACGTCGTGAACTGGACGAAATAGATAAATAAATAGAATAAAACCATAGATAAGTAAATGAGGCTAGAATGTAATGCAGACGGGTCACCTGATGGAAAGTGACTACCGCCGCCCATGAATGCCTGCAACTCAGGAGTCACGTACGCTTACGAGTACGCTCCTTTCGCAGACCACAACTTGTTCCACAGATTGGTTGTGCTAGTGCTAGGCTCCGACCGAGGAGGTCGACGTGGGGGCTGGTCGCTTTCGCGATGCGATTACGCATATATGCGATGCGGCCATGCCCCGCATTCGAGGTCGTCGGCCTCCAAGGAAGGAGGTCTACTGGTGGTCCCAGGAGCTGGCGGACCTCCGTGCGGCCTGTACACGTGCCCGGAGGTCCTACACGCGCAGTCGGCGGCGTCACCGTGGAGACGGTGAGGAGGACCGGCTTCATGAGGAGTACCGACGGGCGCGGAAAACTCTGAAGCTGGCCATTAGCCGCGCCAAAGAAGAAAAGAGACAGGAGATGCTGGAGGGTCTTAATCGTGACCCCTGGGGTCACCCTTACCGCGCGGTGCGACAAAAGCTCCGCGCGTCAGGCCCCCCCTTACGGAGACTCTCCAGCCCAGCTTCCTGCGAGAAGTGGTTGAGGGCCTTTTCCCACAACGAGCGGAACACACTCCCCCGGCGATGGCCTCCTTGGCCGGAGACGACGGGGAGCACGGGGAGAATAATGTTCCGCCCGTCCGGGATTCGGAGGTAGGGGCGGCTGTTCGGGCGGCCGCCCCTGGGCCAGACGGGGTACCGGCCCGAGTGCTGGCCCTGGCCCTCAACCACATGGCAGACCGCCTCGGGGAGGTGTTCGACGCTAGCTTGGCGTCGGGACGCTTCCCTGAGTGCTGGAAGAGCGGGAAGCTGGTCCTATTGAGGAAGCCGGGACGGCCTGCCGATTCGGTCGCGGCCTATAGGCCTATCGTGCTGCTGGACGAGGCGGGCAAATTGTTTGAGAGGGTTCTTTCTGCTCGCATCGTCCGGCACCTCTGCGAGGTGGGCCCCGATCTGTCGGACGCCCAATTTGGTTTTCGGACGGGGCGTTCGACAGTCGACGCCGTGTTGCGCCTGAGGGCCGTGACCGAAGAGGCCGTGAGCTGTGGCGGCGTGCTGTTGGCGGTGTCATTAGACATCGCCAACGCATTCAATAGTCTGCCATTCAGCTGCATCAGGGAAGCACTCCACTATCATGGGGTGCCAAAGAACCTGAGGCGGCTAGTGGCAGACTATTTAGAGGAGCGTACCGTCGTGTACGAGGACCGAGAAGGTAATTTGAGGAGTCGGCCCATGTCGTGCGGTGTTCCACAGGGGTCTGTTCTTGGACCCCTCTTGTGGAACATAGGGTACGACTGGGCCGCAGACGATACCCTGGTGACAGCCCGGGGGGCAAACTTCCAAGAGGCGGCGCGCCTGGCCACAGGGGGAGTGTCCCTGGTGGTCGGGCGCATTGAGGCGCTGGGCTTACGGGTGGCCCTAGATAAGACGGAGGCCCTGTTATTTCATGGGCCCCGTCGTGGTCCACCCCCTGGCGCCTCAATCGTGGTCAACTCGGTCCTCGTACCGGTTCGGGCCCAGATGAAATATCTGGGCCTGATCCTCGACGGGAGGTGGCTCTTCGACGAGCACTTCCGACAGCTTGCTCCAAAGCTGGTCGGCGCTGCGTCTGCCCTAGGGCGACTTTTGCCCAATATGGGTGGACCCAGCGTCGCGACAAGACGGCTGTACACGGGGGTTGTCCGGTCAATGGCACTGTACGGTGCACCGGTGTGGGCGGCGGCTCTGACCGCCCAGAATAGGGTACGCCTCTGGCGCCCTCAGAGGGTAATGGCGGTCAGAGCCATACGCGGTTACCGCACCGTTTCGACGGAGGTGGCGTGCGCGTTGGCCGGAACTCCCCCGTGGGATTTGGAGGCGGAAGTGCTCGCCAAGTTTATCGGCGAGTGGCTGACTCCCGGGCGGAGAGCGGATTTCGCCCTCCGCCCGAGGATGTGCGCGAGTGGCGCGAAGCCGCTCGCCGAGCCACGATGGCTCGTTGGTCGTTCCGGCTGGAGACTCCACGCGCTGGCTTCGCCGCCGTGGAGGCTCTCCAGCCGGTCATCGCCGAGTGGGCAGGGCGGCAGCACGGGACCCTTTCCTTCCGGCTGACGCAGGTGCTTTCCGGGCACGGTTGCTTCGGGAAGTACCTGCACTCGGTCGCTAGGAGGGAACTGAGTCCCGCCTGCCACCACTGCGACTGCAGTGAGGACTCGGCCCAGCACACACTGGCGGTCTGCCCCGCATGGGCGGCGCAGCGCCGGGCCCTCACTGCAGTCATCGGAGTGGATCTCTCGCTACCGGCCGTAGTACGCTCCATGGCCGGTAGCGACAGTTGTTTTACCGCGGTCGCAACCTTCTGCGAGGTAGTAATCTCGCGGAAGGAGGCGGCGGAGAGGGCCCGGGAGGACGACCTCCACTCGGACCCGATCCGCCGCCGGCGAACCGGGCGGCGGAGGCCCGCCTATCACAGCCTCATGCCGCCCTGAGTGTGGCCGCGGGTGGACGGGGTGGGTTTCCCCTCCACCCGCATTAGTTTGGCCAGCCGAGAGGGGGCGGCGTCCGCGTGTGCCGGACGTCGCCTAAAAAGAGAGGAAAAATATCGAGACGGAGCCCGCACCAGGAGCGGGCTGGCGCTAGGAGGGGTCCGGATGTCTTAACAACAGCTGTTCCCGGATCCCTCCTGTTACAGGCGCAGAGTGGCACACCGTGTGGTTTTAGTCGGTCGGAGTCCGACACACCACCCCGCCGCAAACCCCGGAGGGGTGACGGTCCGAGGGGATTTCCACACGTTAAAAAAAAAAAAAATACCGGCCGGTATTAGTCCGAACCATTCCTCGGAGCACTCAGGAGTATTGGAGCTACATAAATGTAGCAAACTACGCAGGATAACAGTACTGCAAAGAGAAGGAAAACTAGAAACAATTCATATACCAGTCCGTCTAGCCAGGCAGCGTGGTATAGTAGGCTAAAACCTACTTTCTAAGTAGAGGCCTATATCCAACAATGGACTATTAAAGGCTGTTCATGATAATGTAGGCATATGTCGGTGTATCTTGTTAGGGTTACGTACCTTTAAAGGTAAAAAAGGATCCCTTATAAGATCACTTTCTTGTCAGTCTGTCCGTCTATTTGTCTGTCCGTGTGTCACCACCGATTTTCTCAGGAACGGCCTGGTCAGACCTAGCAAGTTGAAATTTATACCAGATACTGAGGTCTATGGTCCCTACTAGGTGTATAAAAATCAACGTCCTGAGTCAACACGATAAAAAGATATGGGCAAATGGATAAATTTTGGTACTTACAAATTTTCATATTTCAATCTACGTAAAATCTGGGTAGGTAAGGAACCCTCGGCGCACGAGTTCGACTCGTACCTGACCGGTTTTTTATTTAAAAGTTAATTATTCTAGTATGACGATACGCTAGTACATCATATGCTAGTAATTATGCTTTGTTCCTTATCTCAAACGTTTTGCGATGCAAAGAGAAGAAATGGAATCGATGCACGATCGAACGAGTACATACATTACACATAATATTTGATGTTATCCATGTAATATGTTAATTTTTCAGAAGACTGTCCTCCAAACGAGGAATACTTGCTGTGCGGTTCACCTTGCCCCTTCAACTGTACGAACCCTGACGGCCAAGTTCAGTGTTCGGATGACTGCATAGAGGGGTGTTTCTGCAAGACTGGGTACTTAAGAAATGACAATGGCACCTGTGTTTCCATAGCAGAGTGTGGAGGTAAATTGTTTAATTTTGTTACTCGATTGCCAATTAATAAATTAAATTAACGGTATAGTAGGCAAACAAACACATGGGTCCACTGATGGTAACTGCTTACCGCTACGCATGAACTCGTGCACCTCAAAAGGCAAAAGTACTTTTCTACATTCTGAGTCCCCCTCCTAAAAAATGGGGGACTCCTCAGATTCCGGACTCCAGATGAAAAGCCACGAAGTACTTGTTTAAGTCAAGCTCTCCCATATGTGACAAAGCATGCCTCTCCCGCGAGCTGACTCGTATCTTCTCGACCATCTACATGTAGAGAGTATTCGTTCTATAACTTTTATTCATTCTCTTACAGGACAAGACGATATTTGCGACGCGAACGAAGAGTTCCTGTCTTGCGGCACAGCCTGTCCAGGGACTTGCAAGCAGCCAGATCCTATAGTCTGTGAGTTGGCCTGCAGCATGGGGTGCTTCTGCAAAGCTGGATACGTCAGGGATACAGCTAGTGGACAATGTGTGACTTTGGATAAATGTCCAACTGGTAAGTGTTTGTGTCCTTTGAGCCTTCACCCAAAGATATAACAAGGAAGTGCAGAAAAGGTTAAGAAGAACTTAGTTACGCATCGTTCCACACGGCTTATTTTACCCATCACTTGGATAATTGGCACTCCACCACAGTGCGCTTTTCCAGAATTTTGTTGCTGAATGTTGTTGCGGGATTCGCTAACCGATACGACCTGCAAGCTTTCAAGAAAAGATCATACTCCTTCCTTAAAGCTTTTTTTTATGTTAGCGGGGGCAGACGAGCAGACGAGTCCCCTGATGGAAAGTGACCATAGCTGCCCATGAACGTCTGCAACTCAGGAGTCATAAACGCGTTGCCAGCCTTTTAAGAAGGAGTACGCTCTTTTCTTGAAGGTTTAAAGGTCGTATCGGTCCGGAAAACCGCTTGTGACTAATGTAGTCTATTTCTATCAGATAACCCGTCTACTCAAACGAGCAGGCGGGGCCCCCTATACATAAAAAAGTTACGCACGAACACACAAATTAAAAACAGATGAAGATGTTTTTTAGAAAAAAAAAAACTTTTTTTTTCAGTAAAATGTCCAAATGAAAACGAAGTTTGGGATGTCTGCAACGGCTTATGTGAGCCTTCCTGCGCAGACCAAGAGCCTGTCTGTGCGTTCAGCTGCACAGGAGGATGCATCTGCGGGCCTGGACTCTTGCGGAACGCTACAGGCGAATGCGTTACACCAGAAAAGTGTGGAAATATTACAACAAATCCTCTAACCGAGCATTTAAATGCGATAAGTAAGTTTTTGGATGTTAAATTCTTGAATATCTAGTTTTGGTTTTGGTTATAGTTTCATAGCCAAAATTTAGTTAGGTTAAGAATAAAATATTGATAAGAAACCATATTTTCCCTCGCTTATAACGAGAAGATTATAAAAAAAATATTGTAAAAATGATTTACCTTTGTACTTTGCTAAGCTGATAATTAGGGTAGTTTTAGTATCTATTTGTCGAAACGTGTTTTTTTTCTGCTATTGAAAATGTTGTAATAGAAAAAAGCTAATACTAATTTGGTCAACTCAAGAATCTAGCAAGGACATTACTATTGCTGACAAAGCAGGTACATTCACTTCGTCTCTTCAAGACACAGAGGTCGTTTATTATAAATCACATATTTACAATATGACACAATGTTACGGAGCCAAATAAGTAATAGGTATTTCTAAGGAAAGGTGAATTTTTCTTCTGAAAACTTTAAGAATAGGTTTAATTTATAAGTAAAGACGATGTAAGAGGATCTTACAGAACTTCGATAGCAGTATATTTTGTGATGTTTTTCGTTGAGAAATTGCCAGAGCTCTTTGGTAAAGAGAGAGGCATCGACACCCTAGAAATCCTCGACTTCTCCTATGGTTAAGGATGGATGTAACACCATCGACTTTGTGTTTGTCGGTGCTACAAATTGCTTTCTATTAACTCGTTTTGGCTTATTTGTTTAACTTAGGTCTATAGGTACTTTCCTAAACTGTATTACTATATTAAGTTATTATTTTAGATAATAAATAACTAAGTTATAATAATATTATGCTTTATTTAAGTATAATTTATCTGGAGAAGAATAACATTAAATAAAAATTGTTATATTTATTCTTTGTTTTTTTTTTTTATTGTTATCTGTATCATCTACTTTTGCGGTAAGTAAGTGCAGTAAATAGAGCAAAGAGAGTCCTAACGTATGTTCCGAAAGTTTCAGTAGCCCCAAATGACATTTATTTTCTATTAACTCAGTTGATAATAGAATGTAGGTTAATTTTTTTTGAAGTCATGTCTTTTTAACTTGATTATTTTTAAGTAAAAAGCTGTATTGGTTAAAAATACTCCTTATAAAATAAAAAAGATACGAAAAATTGAGTTATTATGTTCTTTGAGGCATGTAAATGTTAAGAAAAAACATATATTTTATAGATTTCTATAAAAATAACTTAACATTTATTTAATTAATATAATGTATAGTAAATATCTTTAATAAATTTAAATATTTTTAGTCATTATACTCATTACTGAAAATATAAGTACTAAAATGCCGTATGCGTTGATTCCCAGCTTCGATCCTTCGTTCGTCATCGGTATAGTTACAATATTTGCCAGCTGAAATTTATAAAAATATATGTAGATAATAATTAAGGAGGACGTAATTATAACCCAAAAAACACTATAATAGTTTATTACTCTAATTAACACAGTTAGTAGAGTAGTGTAACGCCATCTGTTACCGTTATGTTGTACTACTTAATCTAAAATATGTTCAAATACAGATGGTGTTAAGTGAGTACCTTTTTCTACATTAAGTTATGATTACTTCTAACAGATGGCGCTTATTTAAATATTGAGAAGAACTCTGAATATAGGAATATATTTGGTTCATCTTTGGAAATAATAGTGATTTAAATAACATAAGATCAACTCCTTATGATACCTTTCTGGGCTTTGGAGTGTTTTTATTGTTATGTGGGCTACTTTGGAGATATCACATATTTTAAAGTATTATTGAAAAAACATCGTTTACGAAGAATGATACACAAAAAGACCTCCTTTAACCTAAATTGATATGCAACAATCAATATTACACATGAGCGAATTGGCATGCAAATCTGTTGTATTATAATTCTTAATAAATTCCATATTGAAGTTATAGAAAATTCTATAAGTAGGTATTAGCGAATACTCAAAGGGTAACTTTTGATTTGAGTTCCAGGTATTCTTGGACGGTGGTAATCACTTACCATCAGGTGAGGCGTCTGCTCGTTTGTCCCCTATTAGTTAACAAAAACCTAGTTGAAACTTAATTGGGCGAATGTTATCACCTTTTTGTACTCCTGCTCCTTGATTCCATAACTTAAGTAAGAGTAGGTGAGAAAATCAGTGTTATTTGACACCAGCTGGAAGGTCAGCTGCGTGGAGCCAGCCGATCCTCTGACCACATTGAAGTCCAGTTCACCATTGGCGTTTATGATGCCAGTGATTTCGAGATAGGTGATTACGAAGCCTTTCTGAAAAAAAAAGTTATTTGTAAGCACTAATACTGTTTTTGTAATATCTTAGAAAGGGATCATCCATAAATTACGTTAAACATAAGGATAAGAAGGTAACAGATAACATAAGGATAAGAAGGTCGATAGGTTAACGAAGTGTGACATTTTGTGACGAGAGGTCGCGTCGGTGCTAAATTTCGTGACGTCACACTTCAAAATCTAATAATATATCTAAGTATTAAAGCGCGAAATCTGAATTTATTAACAACAATATAATTTAGGTTTTTTGTTTAGATTGTTTATACTTGTATTGTAGATATAATATACATATATGTATTTGTATGTATGCGTGTGTATGTATAATTATATAAATATATATATACTTTAGCATCAATACACCTAGACTACCCACTGTTTCTTTTCATCTACTGTCGATTTGTCCACCCAAAGGTTGCCTATTAGAGATTGCTATTACCAACATACTATAATTGGTGTACAATAAAGGATATTCTATTTCATTCTAATATGTGACTTCACACTAGGGAACAGTGTATACTAAAAATGTGACCACCTCTGACCAGGATGGGGAAGAGGGTCACAAACCCATGAAATTCATGTGACGTAATTTATGGATGGCCCCAAACCTCGTATCAAAAAATACTTCCTATCTAGTACACAAAAGCTGCTGAATGACCTGATTTGAATAAAAAAAATGCGACTCGATAACCATTACAGTATTTTATTCCATAAAAACTATCATATTTTATGACTTGCTGAACCTACAATGAAAGTATAATACCAAATTATTTTCAAAATTATCACTATGATATTGTCTATGATCTTCATAAGTAGTCTAAAAAAAAGATTCCGATCAGGGAACAATGGCGCTGATGGCAAAATTATCACAAACATTACTGTCTAACTTTGCTATCAAATTAGCGAGGAAAAGCAATTTACTTGTGACCTTATTCGCTTTTATGATACGTATAATCCTCCATAAAAAAACATATTTTCATATAAATTTATTTAACACTACGCTAATATATACACAAAAAATACAAAAGAAATTAAGACAAAGAACAAAGCATGCACAAGTTCGCGCCAACGTCAGAGTATCTTGTTCCAAAACGAATCAATAGATGGCAGTTTCACTAACTTTGAATGACTGCGCTTAGAGTGCACACAATGCTCACTGAAACTTTCCTTTGTTGGACCATGTCATTATTCCTTTTCTAACCACCGAGTTCTCTTTGTAATTATTGGAAACAGAATTTTATGCGTAATAAGCCAATTTTGAGAACCAACAGTATTACTATGTTACACTTTAATATTTTCATTTAAGTGTTCTATGAATGTCCAGAATTTACCGATTCAGGACGTTTACTATCGTTTTGGTTGATTTTATTCTATTTAAAAATTTAAGAATAAACCAACCCTCGCTTCAACAGTATTGGTGACAAAGAAGGGCTCGTAGTTGTTCCTGTGCCTGTAGCGATCTGACCCGCCTTTCATTGGGAGGGAACCTGGAATTTAAAGGCAAGAATAAGAAACATATATATCAAATGTCATCACCCCATTCATCCCGTGGGTGTCGTAAGAGCCGACTAAGGGAGCAAACTACGCAGAACAACAACACTGCAAAGAGAAGGAAAACTTGGAACAAACCCTATATCAACCCGTCTGGCCAGCGTAGTATAGTAGGCCAAAATCTCCTTTCTAAGGAGAGGCCTATGTCCAGCAGTGGCCTGTTATAGGCTTTTAATGATGATGATGATGATTGATGATATCAAAACAATATCCCTCCCTGTTCTTAACCCTTCTTGTAAACTTATTTCGAACGTGCTCAGAAGTCAGACTAGACTTTCGCGATGCTTTCTTTGACATTTTTAGTAGGTGCCTGAATAAAACTGTATTTTAACCTTCCCAATGTAACTACATATTAAATCTATGGTTCACAAGTAAAAAAAAAGTAACTAAAGAACTAATTTTTGATTAAGTACTCCTACGACTAAAATTTAATTTTCATGCAAAAAGGTTATTTATAGTCATGAACTTAATTAAGTTTTTAATGATCAGTAAGAGGGTTTGTATATATTGAGATGCTTTTCATATTATTCAGGAGGAGGAGGTAGCAGATAAGAAGCGTATGCAAACCCAAACCAACTTGCAAGGAGTCTAATAATAATATTAAAATTTTAATAGGTGGCAACTAGGCCCAAAGTGTTAGTAACAATTACCTTAAGCCTAATGTTAGTAACATAACGTTTTTTGTTATCGTGACCTCACTAGTATTCTCATTGGATGGCGCAACCAGAATGATAGAGAAACCTGTCATAACTTTCAGAAGATCAAGAAGAGCGCCACGAGATCTATGAAACACATAGATACTTCAATGTGTATGGCCAAATCACTGGATTTGCTCCAAACACGTCCTTATACAAATGCTTAAAAACCAGCTAAATTTTGTATATGTTTATACAGGAATTAAGGTAGATAAAAAAAGATATTCAGAGTTTATAAATTGATTTACGAAACTGTTCTGCTTTTTAAATATACCTACTAATTCAAATTAAAACTGACGCGAACATGTTGTACGCTGAGATGTTGAAAGCAGATTGTATTTTCTGTTCCACCGTGCCTATCTAATAAGAATAACGCTTTTTTAACCTAATTCATTTGGGTTCAGTTTAACAAATAATAAAAGGAAACTTCTTCTCCTTCCGTTCTCCGTTCTTTTTAAAAAGACAACTCCCGAACAAGAATATATCCTGTGTCGCCGGGGACTTTACAAACATACATAAAACGGACACAAATAACACCCAGACTCAGAACAACAATTTGTGGATAACACAAAGTGTCGTCCCATGTGGGGATCGGACCCACAACACTCAGCGTAGTAGTAAGTTTCGTGGCGACCGCTTAAACCACTAACATCCGTGAAGTCATTAAGTTCAAATCACTAATTAAGTTTTCCTTCACTCTTATATCCGTCAACTTCCATACTTAAAACTACAGAAATCTTAATAATAAGACACTATTACAATTTCTGTGCTTAAAACGTACTTCACTTAATTTTGCTCTATGCATCACATCAACAGCGTTTGCAATAACAGTCATAACACTAGAAAAAATATATCTATTTCAGCCTTCGATCAACAATAGCAACTGCTATTGTTGATCGAAGATTTCAGCTAAGTAGTTTATTCAATTATGAAATAAGTAAATAAAAACTCACAAGGACTTGTTAACGATAACGACGTTGATAAGGAGCGAAAAGAGCCCCATATTCTAATTCTCGGTCATGTCATGTTTTTGCCTATACTTGTGCCTTACAAAAGAAAAAAAAACAAACAAATACCAAAGTCTTAGTCAGAATTAATCTTTATTATCTTTAGTGCAACATAATAGTATTTAGCAGTTCTAGGAAGACGTCATGTTTAATTTGGTCACATCTCCCGTAGATAAATTCCTGATATTAACTGAATGTAAAAAATAGGGATCTTTATTGATCTGAAATTATCTCGGGGTTCATAATTGGAGGAAGTAAGGCACAAAACGTTCGCATCTCCAATACCTTTATTAAGACTATCTGATAAAGATCGCAAGATAAATTTTAATATAAGATTGATTCTAATTGTCTATGGTATACAACAAAGAATATTCGTCGGAGTGATACCACGTTTTCACAGAAAACTTGTGTTAAGCAATTTTTTCGTGGCTTTTCACCGAATGAGTGAGGTTATCGGAGTCCAAACCTCTCCTACCGATAATTATGGAACGGGGAGCACTCAAAATACTCATTTGTGACTCCTGAGTAGCAGTCACAATCGCAGGTGACCCTTCTGGGCCCCAATTCTGCTATTTTATGTTAACGTACAAGCCACACTGTCATATTATTGTCAGCTATTGAGACGCCATTGACATCGGTCAAAATAATAAATTTATAACTAACATAAATTCGGTGTCAATAGACTGTCGATGTAGTGACAATGGCTCATCAACAACATTGCCATATCTGGAAAATTTAATAAATCATTTAAAATGTACCGTTTACCAAACCATTACAAAGACATCGAGGACATTTATATCAGTGGTAGTTCAGTAACAAGTCATCGGGAGGCCATTGGTCTTACATAATTAGTGGAATACGAAAAGTGCAAAACTATTCCGACGACAGTCTATTGATACAATATTAAAATAGCAGAATTGCAATATTTACTATAAAAATACCATAAAAGATAACTTACCATCATATTCAATTCCCACTTTAAATTTCTTCGTTTCGAATAAAGTAGGGTAACTTAAAACAGTACCTATCCCCAGCAACAAATAAAACCAATTCTGCAACATTTTGTTTTAAAATAAATTTCAATAATCTCACTCAAGTCGACTTTGAACAATCTTTTTTCGTTTGAACAGTATCTCGGTCGACAATAGTTTTCTGTAAATACTTGACTACTGAATCATTTCAGTCGGATGACGACTTATCTGTTGACAAAGAATTATCTATCATCTCTTAAATTTGATATTATATTTTCAGGTGTGTTATCGAAATCATCCTAACACTAGTTTGTATATTCGGTTTCATTTGGTTTAAATTATGATGGGTCTGTTGGTCTAGTTAGTGGTCCTGACTGCTTAGTCTGAGGTTTTGTGTTCGATACTCATCCAGGACAAATATTGTGTGATGGGCACAATCATTAGTTGTGTGTCTGGCAGTAACTAATCCTTACATATTATAAAATGAAGTGCCCCAGCCGTGTCTGACTGTCTGTATAAACGCAATAAACAGAAATAATAAAAAAAAGCCGTGTGGTGTCGTGGGACACCCGATAGGAACGAAGTTGTGACGATCGAGTAAAACTGATTCGACACGATTTTAATTACAACGCCATCTATAAATGCAGCTATTACCTACATATTTTTCAGTTGGTTTCTAATTAAAACAATTTATACATTGGTAAAATCTCCTTGAGAAATGATTTCCTATCTATTCGATAGATGGCGCTGAATGACTGACATAAAAAGATAGAAATGAAAATATCTGGCTTGCTTTCTATAAGAGAGAGAGAGACAGACAGAGAAACATGCGACGCCGCACAGCTTACAATAGCTTATTATAGCAAAAAGTGTCGTGACCAATTTTCGTAAGAATTTTTTCCGTCTAGCCCCCTTTCACAACGCGCGATAAGGAACTTCGTTCCAACAAACGGTTTTTTTTTACGGGTTTCACCTATAAATGGTTTGATTCCTGAGCAAGGTTTAAGTGTAATTTATTATGTTTTTATGTAAATTGACTGAAATATAACGATTATTGTTAAAGATGTCGCAAAAAACTTGTCTACTGGGAGGTTTACTCGCGAACACCGCGTAACCCAGTAGAGATACATTAAAGTAATGTAAAATACAGTTAATATAACTCTTCTTAAAATATTAAGAAACATGAATACGGTTACCGAAATCCACGTGGTTCAATCTGCAAACGATAGCTAGTTTATAATATTATGTTTGAATTTAGAACTGTAAAAGTATGTTTATCTAGAAATACATCTATACAATTTGGATGGTAATTGGCTAACCCCTTTTCTCTCTACTAGTTTGACTAAAATTACATTCTGTAGAATATGCCTCTGTCTATTTGTATATTTTGTTCTCCTCAGAGAAGAGCATAATATTATTTTGTCTAATCAGTTTGTTGAGTTGTTTTTTTGCGACATTACAAGATAATCTATATATTTTTTGAGGTTATATCTTGCGGTACAGTATACTACAGCCATGTGCAGGTTAGATTCGATCCGCAAACATTTGTATGCATAAACAGGTTGTTTACAAATGATTTTGTTTGTAAAAGTGGCAACATAGTTGATAATAATTCGTGGTCGTGTGTGTTAATGCGTGTGCTCTCTCTGTCAAGACCAATAAAAACACCTACATCCCATAACCAAGGATTTCATTTACGAGCGACCCAAAAATATACAGGTCACTGCCTACAACTCAGGTTTATTGTATATGTTACCGGCTATCTGTATAATACGTTATTCTATATAATACCTAGGCAATATATAGAATACCCAAGGCGTCTAGGCAATGTACGAAATATTGTTTATTTTATATTTTGCCTAGACATTCTATACAAAACCGAATGCGCTGCCGGCAATGTGTATAAGAGACGATAAAAATTCTTCTGGGTTAGGTGAGGTCAGGTTAGGTTTTGTTTTTTTTTTTTGAGTTTTGAAAATTTTGAGACGGGGCCCGCAATAGGAGCGGGCCGGCGCTAGGAGGGGTCCAGAAGGCGATAACTACCTGGACCCCTCCTAAACTGGAAGCGCAAAGAGGGCACACCTTGTGGTTTTAGTCGGTTCGAGTCCGACACACCACCCCGCCGCAAACCCCGGTGGGGTGACGGTCCGAGGGGATTTCCACATGTTAAAAAAAAAAAAAAAAAAAAAGGTTTTGTTTTTTTAACAACCTCATCATCAACAGCCTTTAATAGTCCACTGCTGGACATAGGCCTCTCCTTAGGAAGGAGGTTTTGGCCTACTATTTAACTATATTCTATGATTATATTATTATATAACTATATTTATGATTTAACTATAAATACCTACTTTTGAATAAAGATTGTTTTTAATCAGAACTAACTACTTACTAATTGTTAATTTTAATAAAATCTAATGTGTTATTTTTGTCTGTCATTTTATACCTTTTTTTTTTTTTTTTCGTGCGGAAATCCCCTCGGATACCTCCTATCGGTGGCATGTCGGACTCGAACCGACTAAAACCGCACGCCGTCCCGGGTACTAATAGCCGGGGAACCAGGTATACCCTAGAAAGGAAGTCCCTGGTGCCCCGACATACCTCGGGCCATCTACAACAACAGGTAGACGACCCCCCCCGTGTCATTTTATACCCTCCCACTTACTTACTTACTTACATAACATTAATAAATACAGGTCCAAATATAGTTATTTTACACATTGCCGGTGGATCACCAGGTACTCTATACAATACCTAGGCATTGTATACATTACCTAGGTAAAGTACATAATGAAAACTAATATTCATAATATTTCATACATTGGCTAGACGCCTTAGGTATTCTATACATTACCTAGGTATTGTATAGAATACCTGAATTATACAGATTGCCGGCAACATATACATTTGTTCGTCCGACTGTTTAGACTTTTGAGGTTACGAATCTTCTGTATACACAAACAAACACGATTTGACAAATAAATACAATATATGTATAAGATTAGCCATTTATCTCTGTTCAAGAGCTATCAATATAGATAAATTTCATCTGCAACATTGAAAAATCAATTTCGTAATAGAAATACAATTTTATCTTTGCAAGTTACTTATCTTTATAACCTATATTCCTTTTACTTTTTGTCTAACAATAAAATCGTAGTTTAGTACAACTTAAAATATATAAAGCGTGTTTACGCTTACTAAACTATGATTTGAAAGGATAGAGGGCAAAGGGCAAAGTTAAGCAACCGTATCCAGGTCCAACTGTGGATCACATCACACATCATCACATCAATAGCCTTTAATAGTCCACTGCTGGACATAAGCCTCTCCTTAGAAATAAGGTTTTGGCCTACTATACCACGCTGCCCAGACGGGTTGGCATAGGGTTTGTGTCAAGTTTTCCTTCTCTTTGCAGTACTGTTGTCTGAAGAGTCTGCTCCTTGATTATGAACACATTGACACCTCCATGCCTCGGAGAGCAAGTTAAGCCGTTGGTCCCGGTTGCCATACGAACATCTGTGCAATCTTTACGGGTAGTTGGAACCGTAAAGAGTCCGAAAATAGTCTTTCTACAGAACTTCGATATCGCCTAGCACTTGGGTTGTGGTATACATACGAGTATACGCAGTTTTAATTCGATGTGACAACTAGAAGTAGCCTTTTTTTTTCCGTGCGGAAATCCCCTCGGATACCACCTATCGGTGGCATGTCGGACTCGAACCGGCTAAAACCGCACGCCGTCTTGGGTAGTAATAGCCGGGGAACCAGGTATACCCTAGAAAGGAAGTCCCTGGTGCCCCGACATACCTCGGGCCATCTACAACAACAGGTAGACGACCCCCCCCGTGTGGGAACCCCATGTTCCCTCTGCTCCCTGGAAGCGAGCGCGCGAGATGGCCTCACCTGTCACCCCCAGGCCTGCGCTTATGGAGGACGGAGGTCGTTCTGCGACCTCCGGCGCCTGAGTCGCCTGCGCCTGCTCGCTCCGCACGATAGCCGCAATCAGGCTATCGAGCGAGAGAACTCCCACTCCGAACTAGAAGTAGCCTAAAATTTACTTCCAGAATTCATTAATTAGATTTTAAAATTCACATTTCAGATTCAGATTTTAAAATTCACATGGCAATAAAAATATCACGGTGGTGACGGATTAAAAATACGGAGTGTTACCACCCCTATTCATCCCGCCGGTGTGATGCAGGACAACAGCACTGCAAAGAGAATTAAACCTTGACAAGAATCAACAAACCGTCTGGATAGCGTGGTGTAGTAGGCACACACCTCTTTTCTAAGGAGAGGACCATGTCCAGTTGGGGCTTTAAAGGCTGTTGATGAGATGAGATGTTTAAGGTGAGAGTACGCGCTGTTTTGTAGGTTTGGAGGTTTTATAAATTCACATATATTCCAGGATATTCTCTTTTTTACATTTAAATCTTAAATACGAAATATATTTGAAAGTAGGCATGTTGCGGATGCATATTTTTTCGCATCCGAGGATGCAGATATTTAAAGGCTTGCGGAAGTCGCCGGCTCCTCCTATTTTCTTTCTTGTCGCGACTTATGGTACATCTGCATCAGCATGAATATCCACATCGATTATTGCGGATGCGGATGCAGATGTTCAAACCGCTGCGGAAGCTCCGCAATTGCGGATGCGAATATTTGCAACATTCCTATTTGGAAGCACAAACAAAAATAATTACTTTTGCAAGGCTTCTAAATAAATTATATTATAATATAACAAAATGTGGCGTGTACGTGTATACAATCTCTATCAATTAAAAAATCTACAAGATGCCATTTTAAACAAAAAAATAATGACTTCAAACTCAAATACAACGTCGCTTATCTTATCACGTTACATCCATTAGCTAAATGGACCACTTTTAGGGTTAAGTAGACCTGTAACAAAATCTTTAAACTGCTGAATTATCTTAGGCTATTAAAAAATTACATTTTAAAAGCGATAGATATTTATAAAACTATACACGGCGCTTCCTATTGCGCTAAGTGCCACATGGGACGACACTTTGTGTGATCCACAAATTGTTGTTCTGAGTATAGGTGTTCTTTGTGTCCGTTTTATGTAC